TGGCCCATTCGTAGCAAAAGAATTAGGTTCTAGAACCTTCCATGAGGCTAAACATGAGCACATAGAAGTTCCTAATATCCAAGAGTTGATGAAACACATCCACTTTCAACCTTTCAGTCAGGTGTGGCGTGGCCTGATGGGGCCTTTTGTGCTGGTGCCCAAGGCCACTTCTGTGCTAAAGAATGGGGCTCAGAAGGGAGAAGTCACTGACACACTGTAGCATTGATGGACCTCAGAAATGTTGGGCTAAATGAAAGAATTCAGACATGAGAGACCACATACCGTACGAGTCCGTTTTTATGAAATGCCCCAAAAGGGCAAATTTATAGAGAAAGAAAGTAGATTAGTGGTTGCCTGAGGCTAAGAGTAGGAGCAGGAAGTCACTGTAAATGGCATGAGGCATCTTACCGGGGGCAACAAAAATGTCCTAACACTTATTTTTGGTGATGGTTGTATCACTCAGTAGCATTATTTAAATTCATTGAATTGCGTGCCCTAAATAGGGTGAATGTTACAAGATATAAAGTCTATGCCTCAATAAAAATATACTTAAATATTTTATGATATGTAAACATACCTCCTTTTTTGTTTAAAAAAAAGAATAGGGTCCACACTAGACCTGGGAGCTTCCAAATGTCACGTTATAGTTTGGTTATAAGAAAGTGGAGGAATCCTACGTATGAGAGACGCGTCAGAACCCGACTGACAGGTAATTGCCTCCAGCTCAGACTGTAGAATCCGTTCTTAAAATAAGATCGCTTACGGATTTGTATTTTGACCAGAAGTTCAGTGACCTCTTTCGTGGGAATCCTATCCTGTGGACAGAAGAGTTAGAAGGACCCTGGTTGGTTCTCTGGTGGTGTGGACTCCAAGCGAGGTCTCTCTCTCCCTGCCTCCCCTTTGTTCCCAGCCTTATTCCCCTCCCCACCTTACTTTTTTTTTTAAGATTTTATTTACTTGAGAGTGAGTGCGAGTGAGCGCACAAGCAGGGGGAGGGGCAGAAGGAGAGGGAGAGAATCCTCAAGCAGACTACCTGCAGAGCGTGGGGCTGGACACGGGGCTCGATCCCAGTACCCTGAGATCATGACCTGAGCCAAAATCGGAGGCTTACCCAACTGAGCCACCCAAGTGGGCACCCCCCCAACTTTGCTTTCTTACAAAAGTAATACATAGTCACTATAGAAAAAGAGCATTGATAAAAAAAATTAAAATTGCACACAATACATTATAGATTTGTTTCAGACTAAATGTTTGGGTTCCTATGTCTCACTTGCCAAATAACCCCCATTGAACATATTTGATGCATTTATTAACTCGTTGGAATATATCCCTAGAATTTCTGGGTTGTAAGGGATGCGTTCTTAAAGTTGTTTATACATATTACCCAATTGTTCCCTGAAATCTACCTGTGCAATGTGGAGTTTCATTCTTTTTTTTTTTTTTTTTTTAAAGATTTTATTCATTTACCCGACAGAGAGAGACATAGTGAGAGCAGGAACACAAGCAGGGGGAGTGGGAGAGGGAGAAGCAGGCATCCCGCGGAGCAGGGAGCCCGATGTGGGACTCGATCCCAGGACCCTGGGATCATGACCTGAGCCGAAGGCAGACACTTAACGACTGAGCCACCCAGGCGCCCCATGGAGTTTCATTCTATGTGAGTCTAAAATGTGATCTGGCCACCAGAACTGACTGTGCTTATTGGTCTCATGATCGGTTATCCGTCCTGCGCAGGAGAGGGGAGATGGTGTTGCGACTTTATCCCAAGGTAATCAAACGAGGCCTGGGCTGTTGATTTTAATCCCGGACACAAGGCATTCACTGAGACTGGCCGTCTGAGTCTGGGCAGGAGGCAGTGGCCAGGATGGGACACTGTGCCTTAGGAGGGATAATTGAGGCACCAAGGGCTAACAGCATGTGAGAAGTCTGGAAAGGATATGATTAACTTTCTTCAAGCATTTGATGGGCTGTCATGTCAAGAGAAATTAGATTCACTCTGTGTGGTTGTAAGAGCAGAATAAGCAGAGGGTTGCACGTTCTAGGCAGGAAAGATTCGGTTTAATGTCGGAAGGCCCTGCGTAACAGAACAGTCTGGAAGTGGATTGGGCTCCCCCCTGTTCACGGTGAATCCCCCTTCCCTCTACGTCCCTGGGGATGTTCCAGCGGGGCCAAATGTCATTTGGATGAAGAGGCATGGCATGGGTGTGAAGGGAATTCATCATCCGGATTTGATTTGGGGACCTTTGAGAAAAGTTTATAACGACGAGGCCTTGAACTTGAAATCACAGCTCTGACTACGGCAGAGACAGATGAAATAGTCTGCAAACACCATTCGTCCCTTTAATTGTTTCTTGGAGCAAGGAGGTAACTTATTGACTCCCCTAATCTCACATTTTCTACACTCTGCCTTTTGCTGAAGGAGAGTTTAGGTTTTGGACAGTCTTTGACATCCAGCTCAGTTATTGTAGTAGCCGTGTGGGGAGATGGTTTTTCTCAGTTGTTTGTGTTTTCCTTTTATTTTATGCTGTTTGCCAACCATGGGTCTCTCGGATCTACATCTGGTGGAAGGTAAAAGGGATGGTTGTCATGTATCATTCATCTCTGTGTAGCCTTTTCACCTTTAAAAAAACCCCAAAACTTGAATATTGGTCTCAGTACTATTTAAGCTGAACCATACTTTTGCAGTGTTCTGAATCCTGACTATGTTGAAAAGTTGGGCTTTTCCATTGAGGAAATAATAAGTGTTTAAACTATGTCTTTTAACTTTTTTTTTGTCTTTTAACATTTTTTAATGCATGTTCTCCTCATTTTGATATTGATACTTCGGGAAGGTAAAAAATAACTAGGTAGTCTACAAAATCCGTTAAGAATATGTGGGAAATTGCCCGTCTGATTTTAATGTTTCTAAAGCACGACTGATTAAATAACCTAACCTTTGGCCCCTCGAAGTGTGGTCTGCTGCAGATGGCATCACCTGGGAGCTTGGTAGAAATGCAGAATTTCAAGCTCCATCCTAAAGCAACTGAATGTGCATTTTCTCAGGTTGACCTTCTGATAGTGCCTGGTACACAGGCTTTCCCAGGAGACTAGCTGCAGATCCGGTGGGCAACAGTAATTATCTCGCCTTGCTGTTTTGTTTTGAGCACCTGCTAACGTGCCTGGCATTGTGACTAGGTTCTTTCTCATGCATGAACCCAGGTAATTCTCAGAATCACCCTCTCAAGGAGGTATTATTAGAGGCTCAGAAAAGCTGTCACCCGGCCTGCCAAAAGTGTCACTATAAGACAGGTTCTGGAGTCTGTATCTCCTAAACCTGAGTCAGAGACGTGGAGGCCTGGGTTGTCATGCTGTAGCCTGGCCAAGCGCGGAAGCTTCTAGTCACTCCAGCTCTCCACCTGGGCGACCCTGCACATCCAGCAATAGCAGCTCAGCTCCTAGCCTCTGGCCTTTCACGGTCTAGTCGTGGTGCAGTCATGGCCCAGTCATGGCCCGGTCGTGGCTTGGTATGGAGGGCCTCGGGAGGAAGTCACTTCTGACAGATGTTGGGAAGAGTGTGTAGAGCCCCACATCTCCCCTGCAGGCTGGCTTCCTGAAGCCTCCGTTACAAAAGAAGTTCAGGGGCCGAGACAAACACATTTCTCAGGAGTTGCCTGTAACAAAATAGGCTGTGTGTGTGTGTGTGTGTGTGGCTTCAGTTTCTGTGAATTCTCTGTTTTAAAAGACTAGATATTTAGTACAAATCTGTTCTCACTTTCTAATTCTGAAGCCTTTAGGATGTACTGTTCTCATGGATTCTGAGGAAGGAGATACATGAGTAATAAGAAATGATCTTTTTAAAAAATTAACGTATGTATTATTTATTTCAGGGGTATAGGCCTGTGATTCATCAGTCTTACATAATACCCAGTGCTCATTACAACACATTTTTTTTTTTTTTTAAAGATTTTATTTATTTGACAGAGAGAGATACAGTGAGAGAGGGAACACAAGCAGGGGGTGTGGGAGAGGGAGAAGCAGGCTTCCCGGTGAGCAGGGAGCCCGACGCGGGGCTCGATCCCACGACCCTGGGATCCTGACCTGAGGCGAAGGCAGACGCTTAACGACTGAGCCACCCAGGCGCCCCACAACACATTTTTTTTAAAGATTTTATTTATTTGAGAGAGAGAGATTGTGCAAGCACACGCAGGAGCACCAGTGGGGGAGGGGCAGAGGCAGAGGGAGAAGCAGGCTCCCCACTGAGCAAGGAGCCTGATGCGGGACTCGATCCCAGGACCCCGGGATCATGACCTGAGCCGAAGGCAGACGCTTAACCGACTGAGCCCCCCAGGCGCCCCACAAAATGATCGTTAATCATTAAGTGATATTTCTGTTTTCCTGCCTGCATTCCTCTGGTCGTGTTGGATATTTAAGAATGAGTCTGTCACGCTCGGTTGTACCTCAGGAGAAAGCGACTCATTACATCCATAGTAAACTCACAACTCGGGAATGGCAGGATTCCAAAATTTTTCAAAATGTGAGGTTCCATGAACCATCCTCAGGGGAGGGGGGAATAGAGAAGTTATAATTACATTTATTTAATAAGTACCACCTAGTAAAATTCTGGTAAGTAAAGCAAAATTAGTATAACAATTGGGATCAATTTATGTATTTTGTATTTGTTTACCAACTCAGCCCCTGGGTGGGTGGGCATCGGAGAAGGCATATAAAAGGAGAGAACATTCTAAAATCTACCAACCCTTCCTGATATTCTCCCCCTCCATTTTATTAAAAATCAGGGCCAAACTTCAACTCCCTGCCCACCATCATTTGGTGGTATTTTTGTTTCTCTTTAGGTATCATCCTATTTTCTTTTTCTTTACCACTGACATCGGCTTATTTCGTATGAATGTGTAATAGATTAAATACATATGCATTTAAAATATTGTTTTGATTTGTCTGTGAATTGTTTCCCTTAAAGGGCCTATCTGGGGAAATGAGTAATTTCTCATATCCTGTTCTTGCAGGAAGAATTTTAAATCGTTTCTCCAAAGACATTGGGCACATGGATGACTTGCTACCCCTGACGTTTCTAGATTTCTTCCAGGTAAGATCACAGTGATGCCAAGTTCTTGAACGGAAAACTGCAGTTCCTGTTCTTTCAAGTCCTTTCCATGGGGGCCGAGGGTGGGCCTCCCGGCCTGACGATGTCATGTTATCTTAGTAAAGGCCGTGTTTGTAAGAGAAAGGTGTGGTTCTGATTCGGAGGCTAAGTTAACATGAGTAATACCTCATGTGTAGGAGTGGCTACACAGTCTTGTCAAGGTTGGTTCGAAGCAGCTACAGGCTTGGTAAGTGGTTCTGCATCTGCCTTCCAGGTATCTGGCATGAATTTCCCTTTACTGTGAGCACATTTCATAATATAGAAACAATCACCTCTCACGGAAAGATAGCCCAGATTGATTAAATTATGCATTGTATTACTACAAAGGACAAATATTTACTGCACCATTTTGGGGGATAAATCCAGGTGTGGTTACTAACAAAGAAAAGATTAGTAATAATAAGGTGAAAATAATACTTTGTTAACAAGGACAAAGGAGAGCAGTTATTGCAGATACAAAGCCTTTAAAGGCAAGTACATTTAAGCCAATAAATTGAGTACAGGATCAAAGTCATCTCAGAAAATGTCTTTTTTATTTTTCTAGGCAGCTTTTCTTTCACACGTTGATTGCTCTAAGTCTTAAGGGGTGTGTGTGTGTATGTATGTGTGTGAGTGAATTTTAAACCCAACGATCCCACAAATACCTTCTATACAGCATATGTTCTGTCTGTGAACTTGAGGTTCTGAGGAAAGATATTGGGTCATCTCATGCCTCATCTGCTCACTCAGTGTTGTGGCACACGTGGGATGATTTTCCTGCTGTTTAATTCTGTCTACTTTTCAGCGATTCAGGCTGGGGGACTTTCATTTCCAAGTGGGCTTTTTTTTTTTTTTTTTTGGAAAATGACATACATTTATCAACAGCTGCACATATTCCAAGATCACCGCTGCTATCGCTAATACTTCTTGAATTTGTGTTTCACTCTCCCTAAGTAATCATGAACTCATTGTAAGGCCAGGAAGTCGAAATGCTGCCACTGGGGTCTGCAATCATGGCTTCATCCTGATGGTCGCGCTCCCCGCCCCCCCAACTTTTGTTCAATGCCCAGATGCACTTCAAGTCAAAACTTAGGGACTTTTCTGGAGCCACTGTTATAAAAAGGAGCTAGAATTACTTAATTTGGAAAATTAGCTATGTTATAAAAATCACTAATAGGCCTGAAATGACCACAGGCATTTCTGTGAGTCACTCCTAAACGCAGCAATGAATATCTGACTGCAAACAGTATAGCCCATGGGCAAAGGCACGCACTGTTACCAACGTGAACCAAATGGAGACTCGAGACTCGGAGGCAGAGTACTTTTACTGCAAAGAGCTCTGATTTTTCTGTCCCTCTTCTGCAGACTTATTTTATAAACGTGTCCTGCTGGGTTTTGCCATATAATTTATCCCCAAGAAGCAATTCTCGCTAAAACAAGGTCACATTTTCCCAGGGATTGTTAATTCCATTGAGAAGATTTGTGGAAAGGTTGTTTTTCTTTGCAAGTGCAAGTTAGGCAGAGATTGAGTTTCCTAAGCTGGCTGGCCCACTGTGTGCTCGGCACATGATCAGCCCTCCTAGTCTGAATCGCCCACCTAGTTTTTTGGGGTTTTTTTAAGATTTTTTTTTTTTTT